TAAAGCAAAATAAAAAAGTCACTTATTAATGATAACCGAGAGACGTGCGTAAATTTTAAGTACGTGCTTATAAATTAGCCAATTAAAATGCTGTACTTGGATCGAGTTCACGTACATACATATGTATATAAATATATTTATACGTATGTATATGTATAAATCTATATATGTATGCATACAATAAGATCTTTCTCAATAGACAAATATTTGAGTTTGTTAGTTGAATTTGCAATTGCGCAAGAAAAAAATAAAAATAAACACTGCATAAATCTCGAATCTTTCTCAAATTTATTCAGGCACTTGAATTCTATTTGCTTTAGCTCCAATGATCATTAATATTTGTACGACTGATCTGTCAAGTTTGGCAACACTATTTGGCTAAAATAGTAGAGACAAACAAAATGGAGAAAAAACCCAAGCACTGAGTATTCCACACACGTTGCCAAAAAGAATGAAGCCAACGCAATGCGAAATGGGCTAAGCGCGTTGTAACAATAACGTTGGCTTAGAGCTCTGCGAATTTGTTGCTATTTTTTTCGTATTATTATTTTTTGTTTTTTATATTATTATTAGTTTTGGTGTTTTTGTTTTTAATTTTCCTTTTTTGTAATATTTTGTTAACGAGCTTGCGGCGCATTTTGCGTGTTTTTATACGCGTGGCTTAGCAGCCTAACTGCCAGCCTGAAGCATTGTTGTAATTTCTTTTTGGGTCAACAACTTTGCATAACGGTGCCTGGCTCTGGACATTATTGTATTTGCCTTATTGCATTTTCAACTTGTATTACAGCAGCGCCACCGCACTCACACATTGCACAGAGAACCAAAGACTTCAACACAAACACGAACAAGCGCAAACCTAGCTTTGGCTTAGGCAAACTTCTTCAAGATCGTTGAGCCAGCTGAGCGTAACGGGCCGATCTGCAGCGCTATCAGCACAAATCACGACTTATTGACGCGACGCGCGCTCCAAAACTGATCGCAACTTGTTTGGGCCAACGGCGATGCGGGCAAATGTTGCGACGCGTCGCACAGTGGTTGCAAACATGTTCGT